TCATTCATTCATTCATTCATTCATTCATTCATTCATTCATTCATTCATTCATTCATTCATTCATTCATTCATTTCTGTATTATTTATTCCACATTTAGTACATGCCACTTTTCTGTCTTAATAAAGATGTTTTAAAACTCTGTTTCTATGCAGAAAATACCAGGTAGAGCTCAGTTAGTGTTTATTAGCGGTGCTCAGCTGTAGCAATGAGACGAGGAACGTGACATTTTATGTGTAGCCAAAGTCAAACACAAAACACCAGAATTCCTTAAAACTGGCTTTTTGAAGGCCACCATTCATGTGGCTCTCGGTGAAAACGAGTTTGACACCCCGGTGTTATAGTTATGTCCATCCATTATCTTCTGCTTGTTCCAGAGTCTAGACCAGAGGGCAACAGCTTGAGCAGGGAGACCCAGACATCTCTTCCAGCTCTTCTGGGAAGAGTCCAAAATGTTGCCTGGCCAGCCAAGAGACAAAGACTCCCCAATGTGTCCTGGATCTTTCTCAGGGTCTCCTGCTAGTTGGGTTTGCCCAGAAAACCTCCCTAGGGAGGCATCCTTATCTGAGTCTCTCCTGGAAAACTGAACATCTCTACCTCTCTGTATAGGAAGGGTCGGCTACCCTGCAGGAAAACTTGTCTCCATTTTTGTAAGTGAATTAACTCCAAAGATTGTGGATGTACATCTAATGATGACTTTGCAAGCATTTCATTAAATGTATGCAGTGGTCACCGAGAGAGAGTATAAGACAATTCTGTCTGATTTTAAGTGCTAACGTTTAAGTCTGACCACAGAACACTGAGGGTTAATCAGTTTGTGAGTCCTGCAGCACGACTGAAGAGGGTTTAGGTTCTGCCTTGAAGCAGGTCCTTGGCTGGAGCAGCAGTCAGTGTCAGGCAGACAGACTTTGAACTGAGGTTATTTCTCACCTTCAAAAGGCTTCAGTAAGTGCAAAAGACTACCTGGCTCAGAACCAGCCTCGTGGAGCATCACTCATTAGGAACTATTGTCTGCAGCCAAAAGCTTAAAAACTCCCCAGGCGTCTGCAGCAACACTCCCCACCACCAACACCTGCT